ATGATGATGATGATGATGATGATGATGATGATGATGATGATGATGATGATGATAATAATAATACATTTAAAAGTTAATGACAATAGTGAAAACAATGATATTGATGATAGTACCAAATAGGAGGATTGTAAAACATATAACAGCAAACATAACGACATTGAAGAAATAAAATTATAATGATAATAATAATAAAAATTACAATGATAATGAGAGCGAAATTATAATGATAATGATACTGATAATGATCTGATAATGATACTGATAATGATAATGATAATGATAAAGATAATGACGATGGTAGTGGTAATGAGAATGACGATGATAATGATAATGATAATGATGATAAAGTTAATATTATCATTATTAATTTTGATAATAATTATAATAATAATAGTAATAATGATAATAATAATAACAATAATAATAATAATAATAGATCTAACAATAGCAATAACAATAACATTGTAAAATATATATATTGCTATTGTTACTATCATTCTTTATTTCAATATTGTTGTCGTTGTCTCTTCGTTATCATAATTATTAATAGTATTATTATAATTACTAGTTCTAGTAGGAATAGTAGCGGTATAAAAATTTATGTAGTCGTACTATGAATAATATATCTGTTTGGTCAGCATCAGAATCTGATACTTGGAATAAAGAAACGGGTTTGAAAAAGCAAACAAGTATTTAAGGAAGAGATTAAGGGATACATTGCTCCTTTTGTCGATATATTAATAACGCTTAGTGCAGACATGATTTTCTGTAATCCATGCAGAAATCTTTTCCGCCCGATTGTCTCCTGTATTAAACGAACATCTTGGGGGTTCTAGGACTCACAGAGCCATGTCGCTTTTAAAAAAATGTTTGTGGGAAGGAAACTAAAGTATAAAAGAAATGAACAAATGTTAAGTTCATAAAATTAAATGAACTTGCCGAAATATGCTGTCTTTATTATTTCTCTGCTTTTTAATATGATGTTCTTTTTTTAAAGCAACAATGAATAACTCTTATGTTAATATTCATTGTTTGTTTTTAAATATTTTTTGTTGTTGTTTTCTTTTTATCTCGAGATTCACGCTCAACTGGATAGAATTACATCAATTGCATAAATGCATTGTAGCCTTAAGGTGGAGCTATGGGCGTGCTTTGAAGATATGATTAGAGGATTTTCCTTAATAGTGCAGTAATGAGGAAACTTTTTTTGTTTTATTTATTTATTTGGTGGTTGTTTTTTAAAATCAGTTGTATCTGCTGATCTTTCCAGTGTCTGAGTCAGGCCCAGCATATGCCAGGGTCTCGCTAGGTACAAACATGTATACGTCTTTGTGCACGACCAGTCAGAATATCCGAAAATAAAGGCCAACATGTTGTTCAAAGAAAAGAGGGAAGACATGGAATAATATCAAGAGGCTATCCCAATACGGAAAGGTGAAAAGTGTTTGTTCGTGGCGAACACCCTAATGATGGGTGAGAAAGGCTGTGATGACGATATTGTTCAAAGGCTTCGATGTTTCTGTGGACACCTACTTGCTTCTTAAAATACAACACTGAAGCTTAATTATTATCACATAATTTAATGTTCCATGTGAGAGGTAAAAACTGCAAAATTTGCGGGAGATGCAATAAGCCGGGATGACCTAAACTGAATTGGGGAAAAAAGAAAGAAAACAATTAATAAACAAAATATATCGTTTATCCATTTTTTTACAGCAGAACAACTATCGTACTACCCATCATCCTCCTTAAACGCCAGCATCTATTGTGTACAAGCTAAACGCCATCCTTACTAACTGAAACCATTTTCGTACACTCCAGGAATTAAGTGAAGGGGGTGGGGGGGCGTAGGA